AGCCGAAGTCGCACACTTAACCGACTGAGCCACCCAGGCGCCCCGAACTATTGCCATTTTTGAACTTTGGGAGATTCAAGAAGCTCTTGGGAAGTGTCTCTCCTGAAGACCAGGCAGCCGCCATGGGCTCTGACCCCAGTCACAGGAACCAATTAATTGGGACCTTTGGTGGTTATTATTTGTTGTTTTCTCTCATCCAGACCGGCAGCCCGAATTCAGCTACCATGGGGCAGAGTGAGTGGTTAATATGGAAGAGAAGCGGACCAGAGGTCCTCAGAGGACCAGAAGCCCCGCAAACAAGTAAACCTATAACTTGGTTTCTGGAGCAGAAGGTTGTGGTTTCAGGGAACCCTTCCAGAGAACTGGTAACTCTGGGGCTGTCCTGCCAGGAGGGAGATTAAGGGAGAAACCCCAGGTGAGGGGGCTAGTTTGGAAAATTGCAGGCAACGTCATGCACTGCCCAAGTGCACCTGCTCCTGGAGTGCATGCTACAGCGGCGGGAGAGGGAGAGAAGACAATAAGCTATCAAGGTGGGGAGCCACTCTGGTTTTTCAAGGAAACTGTTCTTGCAGTTGACGCTCAACTCCCACCCTGGGTGGTCTTGAGTCCCGGGTCGACGCCTCAAGGGCCCCTGCTCGGCCGGGGTGCGGCTCTCTCCCCCTCTAGGGCTCACGTCCCAGCCCCAGAGACACTGCCTCACCAAAATCCCGCAGGGATCGCTGAACGGGAGGGGAGGGGCAGGGGCAGGGGGCGGAGCACATAGGGGGCGCTGCGGGGCAGGAGGCGGAGCAGCGCTCCAGAGCCCCGCCTCCGAGCACGGGGCAGGGCGTGCGGGCCACGCCCGCGCACTCCCCTGCAGCCTCGCGCGGGCTCAGTCCCACCGCGGACCCCGCCTCCGGGAAGGCGCCCCGCGTTCCCCCTTCCGCCTCGGGCAGCCGGGCGGGGTACGCGAAGTAGCGACTTTCTGCGGTACCTTTACACAGGGTCGCCATCTAGTGACGGCAGGATATACTGCTGCGTTCGGCCGCGAAGCCGGCCGACGCTACAAGTTGGGAACGTTTCTGGTTAGTGCGAGAACGCTTTAGGGTGGGGAGTAGACCCAATCCTAGGCCCCGTTGGGGGGCTGGGGTGCGCAGATCGGTGGCCCTTCGCTCACCTGCACCCCGTGGCCCGGGCCCACCTCCTAGAGGAAGGTGGGCCTTGGCCACATATGAGTAAGGCCTCGTGTTAACAGTGCCCTGGTCTTTGAAAGGGCAGGCCCGTGGCCCCAGTGAGGTTGGCTCTGAGAGCATTCTGCAGAACACCTGTCTGCAAGGGTGTCTGGCTTAGGAAAGCCCATTCTTTGTCGGGGTGGGGGGGAGGGAGCGGGGAAAGGCGTTTGGGGAGACAGGGGTCCCGGAGAGAGCTCCACCAGTGACTAAGAGCTCAGAACAGGCCTGTCCTCCCTGAGTGCCACCTCCGGAAGAGAGGGCAGGGGAGGGTTCCTGAAACAGCCTCTGGGAGAGCCACCTCAGCCCCACCCCCAACACCACTCCTGGGGTCTGCAGGCACAGACCCAGGGAACAAGAGCCTTCGGCAGCACACATTCAGGTGGGGACAGGACTCCAGTCTCGTATTTTTAGACAGTCCCCCCCCCAAACTTTACTGAGGGTTTTCTCGCATCCCCCAGCTTGGCTTCATGGAGGGAACGTGTTACTGGACAGAGAATCGGTTCCTAGTTGGGGTTGGGCTTCTCATTGCTGGAAAAATCACTCCTCGGACAAAAGATCAGTACTCAGAGACAAGTGATGCTGGGAAAGGAAAGGTTGCTTTTTTCAGCAAGCCCGCAACTGGGATGATGGTGGGCTAATGTGTCAAAGACCATCTTCTCCGTCTTGGCGAAGCCCGAGGGTTTTAGAGAGGAAAGGAGAGGAGGGGAGAGAAGGGGGCGCTGGGTGCAGGTGAAGCAGGTGCCCAGGTGGTTAGTCCTGTGTTGTCGGCATGATCCTGAACAGACTTGCTGGCGTCTGAGGCCCCTGTTTTTAAATGTAGTCAGGCCTTCTCTCCTGGAAAAGTCTGGCCCTTCACTCCTCAAGGCCAGGGGTCTGCAAATCTCAAAGTTAGTTCTGTTACAGACGAAGGGACTTAGGTCAGCTAGCGAGGAGTGCATAAGCTTGAAGCAAGGTAACTCTTAAGACCGGTTACCAAAGCTGTCACAAAAGCACCCACCCCCTTCGAGGGAATAGTTTCTCTCTATAGGCACTATACTCCCCACGGTTGATGACCTCCTTCCCTCTGTGATCTTATATTGGGAGGGAAAGAAAGTTCTCAGGACACCACTCAATAACCCTGCAGATAGGCTTAGTCTGACTGCAAGGGTTCCTGGGATTTAGAATATAGGGTATTTAGTACCTCTTATCTACAACTTTGGACCTTCGCTGCCATTCTTGGGCAACAGGACAAAAGCCTCACCCATATGGGATGCGGTCATTAATAGAAGCAGATGCAGACTGGGGACAGAGAGAGCCGTCAGAACTGCCATGTATGTTTGTGCAGGTAGCTCACTGCACAAGGGCACCTGGTTGAGGGTGGGACCCTGGGATCTGGAATTCAGCCCTTGCTCGAGCACAAAGCCATGCAACCTGGTGAGGGCTGTGTCTGCCAAGAGGAAGGGGAACAGTCTTCAAATTTACCTGCTCTCCATGAGCCTGCCCACAGGGGCCCCCTTTTCCTTCTCAGGCACAGATAGGAGCAGGCTGTAGCCATTAGGGATTTAGGCGACTCTCTTTGGAGAAGAGGCTCCTGCATGAAGCCCCAGCCCGGGATTCTTTGGCTTGTGTGGGCCACAACTCCACTCTATTCTCCCACAAGTAGAAACTCCCCTGGAGGAGCACAGTGTATTAGCCGGAGGGGCAAACCTCTTCTGGTGTGTGTGGTCTCCATGGGGGCACTGCTGGGGAATAACGTCCGTGCCTGGTGTTTGATAAGGTTTTTCAGGCAGAAGACATGTATTTGCCCTCTTCTGTTCATTCTGGTTTCTTAAGCCCAGGCTTCCTCTCTCTTGTTCCCAGAATACTTCATGTGCAAAGACACATCTCCAGACTGAAAGGTCATTACAGTCCCAGTGGACAAAGATTAAGGTGAGTCCAAAGACAGATTTATGTTTCATCCATCTGGTCTATAAAATCTGAACAGTTAAGCACTTTTTGATGTTTGAAATGGGTGAGCTGTTTCCTCATAGCCTACCGGAGAAGCAGGTAAATGTATTCATTTGCTGTAAGAAAGTACTACAAAATATGGGGGGTAGACAACGGAGTTCAGAGTTGAAAAATCCAAGAACAGGGGTGCCTGGGTGGTGCAGTCGGTTAAGCGTCCGACTTCAGCCAGGTCACGATCTCGCGGTCCGTGAGTTCGAGCCCCGCGTCAGGTTCTGGGCTGATGGCTTGGAGCCTGGAGCCTGTTTCCGATTCTGTGTCTCCCTCTCTCTCTGCCGCTCCCCTGTTCATGCTCTGTCTCTCTCTGTCCCAAAAATAAATAAACGTTGAAAAAAAAAATTAAAAAAAAAAAAGAAAAATCCAAGAACAGTGAGTCAGCAGGATTGACCCGTTCCGAGGCCATCAGGAAGAACCTGCTCGCATCTCACAGCTTCCAGGGGTTCGCCGGTGATCTTTGGTGGGTTTTGGCTTGTGGACACATCACCGCAGTCTTTGTGTTCACACGGTATTCTCCCTGGATGCATGTCTGTGTCCAGATCTCCTCTTGTGAAATTACACAGTTATACTATATCAGGGCCACCCTAATGACCTTATCTTAACTAACTACATCTGCGGTGACCCTGTCTCCAAATAAGGTCACGTTCTGAGGTGCTGGGGGTTGGGGTTTCAACATAGGAACTTGGGAGGACACTATTCAACTGATAACATTAAAAACCGCAAACAAGATGGCACTAAAACCCTCATCTGCTACCCACTGCCACGGTGACAGGAAACGAGGTGTTGGAGGGAAGAGGAGACTCACCTCATAAAAGCTACAAGAAAGGGGCGCCTGGGTGGCTCAGTCAGTTCAGCGTCTGACTTCAGCTTAGGTCATGATTCACGGCTCGTGAGTTCAAGCCCCATGTTGGGCTCTGTGCTGACAGCTCAGAGCCTGGAGCCTGCTTCGGATTCTGTGTCTCCCTTTCTCTCTGCCCCTTCCTTGCTTGCTTTCTGTCTGTCTGTCTCTCTCTCTCTCTCTCTCTCTCAAAAATAAATATTTTTAAAAAATTTTTTAAAAAGCCACAAGAAAGTTTTTCTTTCTGCATCAGGTTTGTATCAGGATTGTATCTTATCCCCAGGTAACCAATGAAATCTCTAAGACAGACAAACGAGCCAGAGGGTCTCTTATGTGTTCCCAGACCACAAAGGAGAGGGAGGTTTCAGTAGCTGGAACAGACCATGAGCTGCCTCAGTAGCCAGAGAAACGTGGGCCTGTACAAGGCCTGGCAGACCTGGTCTGTGTGAGTGTCACAGACCTTGCAGGACTTGCCCCCCTCCTTTTTAAATGTTTTTATTTACTTTGGAGGGAGAGAAAGAGGGAGGCAAAGGATCCAAAGGGGGCTTTAGGCTGACAGTAGAGAGCCTGACGTGGGGCTCAAACTCATAAACCGTGAGATCATGACCTGAGCCAAAGTTGGACACTTAACCGACTGAGCCACCCAGGTGCCCCAAAGCATAAGTTTTCTTTTCTTTTCTTCTCTTCTCTTTTCAATTTCTTTCTTTCTTTATCTTTGAGAGAGAGCACAAGTGAGTGAGGGGCAGAGAGAGAGGGAGAGAGAGCACAGAGCCTGAAGCGGGGCTCAAGCTCATGAACCTCGAGATCATGACCTGAGCCGAAGTTGGATGCTTAACCTACTGACCCACCAGGCGACCCTCATAACTTCTCTTAATCATCGTTGTGAAGGTCTCCTTAAGGTTCATAGTAACTGAAATGCCTGTTTTAGTTGATGCGTTTTGCTTGCAGAGATGTCATAATTCTGGTTGAAAATCAGTGTTTAATTCTCAAGCCGTATGGCCAGAGTGGCTCCCATGTTATCTGAGTCATGGTACTTGAGTTATTTAAATCTGTTGGCATCTGAAGTCATCCATAATCCCAGTTTGGGGCTCTGATGAGGCGGGTGGAGAACAGCACCCCCGGTGGCCTGTGAAAACTTCAAGGGCAAAGATGTGGTGGAATCAATAAGCCACTGATTAGAGCTTCATCCTGTAGAGCATTGCTGCTCATGGGTGGCCTTCAGGGAATCTGCGACCCTCCTAAAACTGAAAACTGCAAAATGTGTGTATTTTACTACATAGGGGAGAAGGTTCCCCGCTTTCGTTAGACTCTCAAAGGAATCTACATACAAACCAAGTAAACCTCGCACATCTTTATGGTAAAATAGTAAATTCAGTTTTCTTCTAAAGTGTAGAAGATCATCATGAAATGTAGAATTGTTAGCTAAGGGAGCAAGACCTTTAAACTTGATGATGGTCGATCTCCCAGTTTGGGCCTTGAACGTCCTGCTAGGATTATATGTATGAATTTATAATTTGGAATGTGCAGGGTCGGTTCCTGTGGCCATGAATTAGCATATGATGTGGTCCCCTGTGGCCTGGGGTCTCTGATGGGTCCTCACTAAGGAGGGGGCCTTGATGGGGCCCGTGGACTTGGCTTCAAGATCATTAGGGATGTAAGGCCCTTCCCCCAGAAGTTTGCTTCTGTGGAGGGTTTTTGTTCATATCAGCTGGAGTTGAGTGGCAGACAACTTCTACTTGGCCAAAGGATTCACATGTTTAGAATTAGGACAGAAACTGGTCCAATACTCTCTTTCTCAATCATACTCCCATTTGTCTGACCCTCCTCCACCACTCTACCCTATTACATATATAGAGATTTGATATGTATTATATATATGTAATGGATAATTTTCACGGTACACGGTAGGGAAAGTTCTGCCTGCGTTATAAAAAGGAGGACCAGATATCCAGTTTTACAGAAA